GAAAGGCACAATAATAAACTATTCATTCTAGATAGAGAGGTGATTTAACCAACGATGTTGGAGATTTTCCTGAAATCGGTTTTGATCTAGAGTGGACTGCAGTTTCTACTCCTTCTGGGCCTCATCAGAACCCCAAACGGGATTCGAAATCGTTGTACGTGTGACGGGGACACCAGTGATTGTGGTGTACTGGTAATGTGGCGCCACTTACCATGAACGACTTGGTTTCAAATCTCTGGGTGGCTGATTATACAAAAACTAGATCAAAAAACGCAATCCAACCTGGACTAGAAAGCCTTGTGGTGGTCAAGGCTGAATGAAATGTAATTACATTGTATTATTGTAGGAAAAACTCTATATTAGTCCTTAAGTAGTTATCATTCAAGAATTACCGACAGTCTCGAAGCGTACTCATATTATACATAAAAATAATGTTTACCAAAATACCTACAATTTCAAGATTGTATAAGATAATGCTGTACGTTACTCCCTAGTCAGACTCAGTAATTCGGCGTCAATATTGCACAAACCATTCCATTCATATGAGCATATTTGGAGGTAACTTACAAGAACGAGTAGGTTAAGAAGCTAGCTAGTAAGGATTATCTTATACTTAAATAATTTACATTGTATTTAGTTCGTTTAAGAGCAGATGCATTCCATCGGAAGAATGCTGACACCTATGAGTCCTAGCTGAATTGACAAGACTTTAAAGTTCAAGTTAATTTGGCACTATGTTAATAAGAGCATTCAAAACAGTCCAAATGTGACCCAAATGGATACAATTTAACCCCCTATAAGTCGAGTCGCTGTATGATCAGCCGTAATATGATTGCCTATAAATAAATAAATGTACCAAGAATACAGACATAGTGAACGCATGTAGTACATAAAAGAAAACAAATTAATACCTGATGTCCTAAAGATGACAAAAACAGTTAAATGGGGGGTGTAGATGAATGCTAAACTTTGCATCAATGGACATGTGGATACTGCACACTTTAAAATAATGTGTTAATGGTCTAGTACGCTCACATTCTAGCCAAAATATGTAAATAGTCCTGCGGGTGATTATAAAGATTTCCTCTTAAAATACTGCAGAAATGAAACTGTTTGGATATTTAATATCTACATTTTACGCTGGTATAGTTTAGCTAAAAGCAATGCTTAGATAAAAGACGAAATAGACGGAGGGCTTACTTAGTAACCAGATCAGGATTTTCAGTGCTGATGAAATTTTTCGCCTCTACGATGTTGGGAGCATGACGCTCGAGGATAGAGAACCAATACAAAGAGTACTTGGCCATAAGAAGATCATGAAAGTAATAAAGCCAGGCCAGCAGACCGGGTAATCTAGCCACTACTCGTCGCGAGCGAGAAGAGGCGTAGAGCTGATAGTGCGAAAAAAACAATAAAAAGTAGGACTGGAAGGTGCCAAATATTGAAATCAGCGATAAATGGGCATGGGAGGCCAGATAAGGTAAAATAAGTGAATGAAATTCTGGTAAAAACAAAAAAAATATTGTAGTGTGTTAAAATATTGAGAGGTTGTCTAATCTGGAAGGTGGGTTGTACTCACCGATATAGCGAATTTAGACACTAAATGAAAATTGCACTATGCTATATCGAACTCTATTGTTGGAGAAATACACATAGTAATGATATTTTGTATTACTAGATAATTCTATTAAATCTTTAAAGCCAAAATGATGAGTTAAATAATTTTTATGAATAAGAAATGTATAAAATAGTGTTCCATCAGTGTAGGTCGTTTGGAAATAAGAAGATATAGCAGAGGCGTAAGAGTGGCTCGAACTCATCAGCGTGTTGAAGTGGAGGGTGGACCAAAAGAATGTGAAAGGCGGTAGAATTTTGTAGAACAAGGATAGATAAGTTGGATTTATGACTTACATCGGGACAGGCGACATGAATCAAATCGAGAATCAATTCTGAAGCAGCATCAAGACAGACAAGAGGCTGGAGAAAATGCAAATTTGCAATGAGAGATTGGGCCTGCATTAGATATTCCAAAGTATCTAATTCAGCCCTGATTGTCAGAAAATAAGTAGAAGATAAAAAAAATATAGAAGAAGAATGAAAACTAATGGAAGAAAGGAATATTTGAAATAGTTAATCGGGCTAAACAGACTAAAAGCCTGATAAATATGCTATAAAAAACGTGTACATAGGAAAATTATATGAAGCTCCGACGAATCTCCTAAAAAAATAGTTGTGGAGGTTTTCATTTAGTAAGAAAGTGCATGATGAAGAGATTCATACGTCGATCTTACAGGAATATGACGGTTAGATTATACTGCAGCCGTTTGGCTCTAATACGACATTCAAG